GAGAAACTTCCTAACTGTCAGAGTGGTTGAGCAGTGGAACAGTCTGCCTCGGGAGGGGGTGGAGGCTCCTTCACTGGACGTTTTCAAGTGGAGGCTGGACGACCATCTTTCGGGTATGTTGTAGGTATGTAGGGCTGTCTTTCAGCTATGCTCCTGCAGAGTGCATCACCTTCCAACTCTAACATTCTATGATTCTTTAGTGAAAGGTTTATTCAGAGATTTGAGATGCTCATGGGTTCAGACGCTTTGTCAGGAATGAGGAGCACAGGCGGTAAAGCCACAACCCCAAAATTCAAGTCGTACGCGTCAGCAATACTACAAAGACGATGAAAGATATACGGTCTATTACTAGCCTGTAACGAGTCAGCAGATCTATTCTCTCTTGCTCCGGATTGCAAGACTAGATCTAATGGGTGGGAATTGCAAGGGAGTCGTTACCGGCTAAATCTCATGAGAAACTTCCTAACTGTAAGAGTGGTTGAGCAGTGGAACAGACTGCCTCAGGAGGTGGTGGATGCTCCTTCGCTGGACGTTTTCAAGCGGAGGCTGGACAACCATCTTTCGGGTATGTTGTAGGGCTATCTTTCAGCTATGCTCCTGCAGAGTGCAGGGGGTTGGACTAGGTCCCTTCCAACTCTAACATTCGATGATTCTTTAGTGAAAGGTTTATTCAGAGATTTGAGATGCTCATGGGTTCAGACGCTTTGTCAGGAATGAGGTGCCAAGGCGGGAAAGCCGCGTATAGCCACAACCCCAAAATTCCATTCGTACGCGTCAGCAATACTACAAAGACCATGAAAGATAAACGGTCTATTACTAGCCTGTAACGAGTCGGCATTCTTTCAGCGAGAGAGTAGGAAGCAAGGCCTGGGAGCTGCCTCTGGCCCGCAGGAGCGTTCCACGCAAGAGCATCTGCCCTCCAGACGGTAGCACAGGCAAGTGGGCTGATTCTCCCAGAGCAGCCGAGTTGGGGGTGGGGGTGGGGCTCAGATCTGAATGGTGGGCCGGAAACCACTCGTGGAGTCTGACCGCTGTGGCGTTTCACTGCTCAGAGCCTGTTTGAAACTGGGTTGATGATTCAGTGTTGTGTCGCTGCTGTTCTTGTTCCAGCCGTAAGTCACCTTGAGCGACGTGGGCTGGCTAGAAATTGCGAGTATGCGGGAACACACATGAAGGTGCCTCCTACTGAATCAGACCCCCTGGGACCATCGAAGTCAGTATCAACTACTCAGACTGGCCATGGCTCTCCAGAGTCTCAGGCAGAAAAAGGTCTTTCACATCACCTGATGTCTGCTCCTTTTAATTGGAGATGCCAGGGATTGAACCTGGGACCTTCTGCATGCCAAGCAGAGGCTCTGCCACCAGGGTTCCCTCTAAGCTGAGTCAGTGTGAGCCTGCTCACAGTTTTTTAGCCTCCGGCTCACACATTTTTATTTTCGCTCAGGAAGGAGGGCTCCAGAGGACACTAATTGATGCAGCAGCCAAATGGCTCGCTCACAACTTTAATGCCTGCACTTCTGCATGCCAAGCAGAGGCTCTGCTGGTGAGCTAGGGCCCCTCTTTACAGCTCTTCAGGGTCTCAGGCAGAGGTCTTTCCCATCACTTCCTGCCTGGTCCTTTTTAACTGGGGGTGCCGGGGACTGAACCTGGGACCTTCTGCATGCCAAGCAGAGGCTCTGCTGGTGAGCTAGGGCCCCTCTTTACAGCTCTTCAGGGTCTCAGGCAGAGGTCTTTCCCATCACTTCCTGCCTGGTCCTTTTTAACTGGGGGTGCCGGGGACTGAACCTGGGACCTTCTGCATGCCAAGCAGAGGCTCTGCTGGTGAGCTAGGGCCCCTCTTTACAGCTCTTCAGGGTCTCAGGCAGAGGTCTTTCCCATCACTTCCTGCCTGGTCCTTTTTAACTGGGGGTGCCGGGGACTGAACCTGGGACCTTCTGCATGCCAAGCAGAGGCTCTGCTGGTGAGCTAGGGCCCCTCTTTACAGCTCTTCAGGGTCTCAGGCAGAGGTCTTTCCCATCACTTCCTGCCTGGTCCTTTTTAACTGGGGGTGCCGGGGACTGAACCTGGGACCTTCTGCATGCCAAGCAGAGGCTTTTTCACTGAGCCACATAGGAAAGGGAGTCCATTGCAGTAATCAGGTTTTTCAACGATTTCTGTGTGCCATGAGGAGCATGGCTATAATTTGTGCCTCTGTGTCTCTGTGTGTGGTTTAAAGAAGTTAAGAAGACGCTTCCTGTTTTAGAAGCCCACATGAAAACGCCAAGTGCCCGCTAACCGTGTTCTCTAGTGTTCTGGTGCCGTCTGAACACGATGACCGGCTCTGGGAATCGAGTGGGCTGGAAATATAAATGGATTTCAAGGGTCGGGCTTTCTTTTTCCAGCTGCTCCCAGTGCTGTTTTGGACCTTTGCTCTTTCTGCCTACCAAAGAGGGGAGGGGATTCTTCCTCACCTTTCTCAGGATCTCCCCTTTTCTCTCTGCAGTTCCTGTCCTTGGACGACATCCAAGAGAGCAGCAGAGCATGCACGGACCTGAGGGAGAACCATCGGCACAGTGTGAGTGACTCCCGCTCCAGCCAGCCTCCCCCACGGCGGCAGCTGCTCCCACAGGGGACTTCTGAGCCGAATGGCGGACGAGAGGGCCAGGAGTTTTGGGGAGGGTCGCCTCAGGGCTTAGTTCTCGTGGCCCTTTCGTACACGCCCAGGGACATGCCGATGGCCACTTTGGGGTCAGGAAGCAATTTTTCTCCAGGCCAGTTTGCCCGGAGATCCTGGAGGCTTTTTGTCATCTTCTGGGTGTGGAGCAGAGGTCACTAGGGGTGTGTGGAAGGGGAGGTATTTGTGAAATTCCTGCATTGTGCGGGGGGCTGGACTAGATGACCCTGGAGGTCCCTTCCAACTCTATGATTCTACGATTGACTCCCAGGTCCAGGCAACAAGGCTCAGGCGAGCCAGGTTTTGGGGACTGGGGGGTATATGATTCATACAAGCTAACATTTCCCCTGGATTGTTTGGGGAAACCATGATTCAAAGCATTTTTATGTGGCCATTCGACCTGATCAAGGTCCCCAAGGTGGCGAATGTAAAAAACATTCACGGAGGGAGATCAAGATGGGTCGCCGTGTTTGTCTGTAGCAGCAGAAAAGAGCAAGAGTCCAGGAACACCTTCAGGACTAACACAATTTGTGGCAGGGGAGGAGCTGTCATGAGCTACTGTTCACTTCTTCAGGTATTGGTATCTGAAGGAGGAGGAGATTGGAGTTATACCCTGCCCTTTGCTACCCAAAGGAATCTCAGAGCAGCTTACAATCTCCTTTCCCTTCCCCACAGCAGACACCCTGTGAGGCAGGCGGGGCTGAGAGAGCTTGTGGCGTCCTCCCTTTAGGGAGGACTGGTTTTCCCTTTAAATGTGCACTTTGCTTTATTAAACTGGGTAGATTCGGCTGCCACCAGGAATTTAAGGATTTCCAAACCTCTCTGTTCCTCTTTCTGGTAAAGTAACCCAGGGTCTCAGCTTTTCAGGGATCTAGGTGGTCCGGAGGAAGGACTGAATTCAATTCTGGGATAACTTAAACAAAAGATGAACTAAGAACAAAATATGAGGTTGGTTATTCTGTAACTGTTTAGGATAAAGGGACTTGTAAATATGTTCAATTTTTTTCCTTTACTTTTGTCTGTCTGACACTCAGTTCCAACATTAATAGGATTTACTCTTTCCTTTAGAGTCAGCCACTCAGGCTAAGGGCATATATACGCCCATTTCAGATCTCACACAGAACTATAATAACCCTCACTGACTGAACACCAACCGAACAATTCCAACTGACTTTCATAACTCACTTTTCATGACTGACTGAGACACACACACAGAGATTCCTTTAAAAAACTCCCCCCACACTGTCATCCACCAATCACAGTGCATTTGTCTCTCTCAGTCACTCTAGTCTGTTTATCATCACACTTCAACCAAACATTTAAAGGCACACAGACTCTCATAAAACCAGGAATCATTACAGAGTTCTTTCGAGAACTGTCCGTGAGAGAACTGCTCTGAGAGAACTTATAACCGACCCAAGGTCACACCAGCGGCTGCATGTGGAGGAGCGGAGAATCAAGCCCGGTTCTCCCAGCTCAGAGTAGAGCCCACGCTCCTAACCACGACACCAAACGGGCTCTGAAGAAGTGAGCCGTGACTCACAAAAGCTCATACCCTGCCACAAATATTGTGAATCTTTAAGGTGCTGCTGGACTCTTGCTCTTTTCTATCGTAAAAAAATAAATAAGTTAAAGCATTCGAACAATTAAGTGCATTTAAAACGATAAAGTAATTCAATAAAAACACACATGTGCCAACAGAACCACGGAGGAGAGCCAGTAACTGTTGTTATTGTTGTGGTTTTAATTCAGTTTCTATCCAGCCCTCAGGGTGGGTTACAGCATGAAAACCACAACAGCAGTCACATCAAAATTCTAAAGACATCAATGAAAATCTCCCCCCAAAACCCCCAAACAAAGATGGCATTCTGAAAATCATATTATTGCTGGAGTTATGCCAAACGAACCAACAAAGTCTTCACCCACTGGCGAAAGACATCGATAGAAGGATACGGACACACCCAGCTTGATGTTGTCTGGGCAGCCGCACACCTTGTCCCAGTTCTCTGGCAGAGATCTTTAAGAAGAAGAGAAGAGATTGTATTTATACCCCGCCCTTTACTTGGAGTCTCAGAGCGGCCTACAAACTCCTTCCCCTCCCCACAGCAGACACCCAGTGAGCCCTCCCCCACAACAGACACCCTGTGAGACAGGTGGGGCTGAGAGAGCTCTGACCGAAACTGCTCTTTTTCAAGGACAGCTCTTGACAGAACTACGGCTTGCCCAAGGTCATCCAGCCAGGTGCAAGCGGAGGAGTGGGGAATCAAACCCGGTTCTCCCAGATTAGAGTCTGCGCACTTAACCGCTACACCAAACTGGCTCTGATTGGGCCGTTCCTCAGCTGATTGGGCCGTTCCTCAGCTGGAGGAATGTGTAGCTGACTGGTGACCATCCAGTTTCAGTCTTCCTGAATGGAGAGGCTGAAAAATGGAGAGGTGGTGGATGCTCCTTCACCGGATGTTTTCGATCAGAGGCTGGACGACCCATCTTTCGGGTATGTTGTAAGGCTGTCTTTCGGCTCTGCTCCCGCAGAGTGCAGGGGGTTGGACTAGATGACCTGCAAGGTTCCTTCCAACTGAGCCACAGCCCCTCCTTACAGCTCCCCAGAGTCTCAGGTGGAGGTCTCTCACATCACCTCCTGCCTGGGCTTTTCTAGCTGGAGATGCCGGGGGTTGAACTTGGGACCTTCTGCATGCCAAGCAGAGGCTGTGCCACTGATCCACGGCCCCTCTTTACAGCTCTCCAGGGTCTCAGGCAGAGGTCTTTCCCATCACCTCCTGCCTGGTCCTTTTTAACTGGAGGTTCCGGGGACTGAACCTGGGACCTTCTGCATGCCAAGCAGAGGCTCTGCCTCTGAGCCACATCCCCTCTTTACAGCTCTCCAGGGTCTCAGGCAGAAAAGGGTCTTTCCCATCATCTACTGCCTGGTCCTTTTTAACTGGAGGTGCCGGGGATTGAACCTGGGACCTTCTGCATGCCAAGCAGATGCTCTGTCCCCGAGCCTCGGACCCTCCCTATTTCTGGGACATCTCTCCAGCTTTTACCCTTGCAGTCTGCTGATCCCTTTGCTGTGTGTACACGTGCATCTGTATTACATGTTGACGAAACACTACTCACTGCCAAGCAGCCGTCTAAATATATTTCCATAATACTACATCACGGTTGTTGTCATCATTGTTTGATCCCTTTGCTGACGGCAGCAACGGCCCACCAGAACCACCAAAACCCTTCCATGGCCAAAGTGGGAGCCGTGACGCGGGCGCTGGAAAGGCCTCTTGATGCCTTTCCAGCTGGGTTAGAGGCACCCCCCACCCCCACCACCCCGTGCAGCCCAGTGCGCCTTCCTCCCCAGCCTTCCTGTCGTTTCTCTTTCCAGGCTGTCAGCATCGTCCCCTTGACGCCGATGGCCCTCGTGCCCCCAGAAGAGGCAGAAAAGAAGGACAACCCCCTGTTCAGGTAAGCTTCTCTCCCTGGGCTGGCAGAACCTTTCTTTATTTATCAAATTTCTAACCCACCCTCCCCGCAAGCGGGCTCAGGGCGGCTCACAAAGGGGGCACATATGCCAATGCATAAAAACAAAATTAAAAACAGGATGAAACAATTGTTTACAATATTACAAGTGCTCTGGATGTTTCAAAATCAATCTTCAGTAAAAGGGTGGTTCAGTAGTTCGCTTGTCACAGGTCCATCTCCACTCCCCGCTGTTGCCCAAACCTGTTGTTGGTGGTGGTAGTGGTAGTGGTAGTGGTGGTCGTGGCTGTGGCGGCTCCTAATCGAAAGCCTGGTGGAAGAGCTCCATCTTGCAGGCCCTGCGGAACTGCACAAGGTCCCGCAGGGCCCGGATCTCTTCCGGGAGCTCATTCCACCAGGTAGGAGCCGCCACCGAAAAGGCCCTGGCTCTGGTTGCAGCAAGCCTGGCCTCCTTGGGGCCTGGGGTCACCAGCAGATGTTGCGTCCCCGACTAGTGCCCTTTGGGGTACATATGGGGAAAGGCGGTCTCTTAGGTATGTCAGACCCCCTCCCCCAACAACACTCAATTCCTCATCTCTTCCACTCATTCCTTCTGGACTTGCTAAGCTCCCATCTGTCAGTGTCTAAGCTGAAGATAATTATCTCCCATTTTATAATTCCCCAATTGTGTGCCTCAAAATATTGACCTCCTCACCCCCACGATACCGCTGTGTATTTTCTGTTAGGCGGACATGAAGGCATATCACTCCAAGGGTGCGTTCAGACATGCCGTTTGATCTGGTGTCGTCACGCTTCAGCAACGGATTTTATCTGTGCGATCACACGGTCAACATCTGCCTCCCATCCCCAGCCATTGGTTTCCGGCTCAAAACCGCTTTAACCCGGAGTATTTTGTTACCAGGTCCCAAAGTGGTGTTTTCTTAGCTCTCCCATTCAAAGCCGCATTTCCCCCCTGTGTGATCAGTCCTCCGGTGTCGAGCCACTTCCGGTTTAAACCCCCTCCCCACTTGAAAGCTGCCCGAGTTTTCCGCTTTTCACTTGCCTTTTTTTTTTTAGCGTCGGCGGTGCACGCGTAGGCGGAGCTCCACCACCGCGTTTAGAAAACCGACATTTAAACGGTCACTTGTTTTTGAGTTTAGATGAGTTCGGGATCTCATGGAGGCCATTTTCGGGTCAATCGTTTAGAGGGAAGTCTTTTGTTGGAGGGGTTGGATTGATTTGCCCTGGTGGTTCTGTGCATGCGCCATGGTAGTTCCCCCCCCCCATTCTACGGAGGGGCGCCTATGCGCATGCGCAAACTGAGAAAAAAAGTTAAAAACCCTCCGATGCACGCTCCCACGCGTCGGTAGTGTAGACGCCGGGGGGCGATGTGACTGCGCGGTGAGGCGGGATAAGGGAGGTAAGTGTGGTCGGGATTATCCAGATCAAATATAACCCGGTTGGAACCGGAGCAGTTTAACCCGCTCTCAGCACACCGTCTGACCGCACCCCAAGTCTCTCTATATTTGAATTCCTAGCTAAGAAAGCCCCTGACCTTGGGTGGCCCGGGCTAGCCCGATGTCAGAAGCTAAGCAGGGTCGTCCCTGGTTAGTTTTTGGTTGGGAGGCTACCCAAGAGATTCGTGGTCTCTTTGCAGAGGCAGGGAATGGCTTCCAACCTCTGAACATCTCTTGCCTTGACCTGGATGGCTTCAGGCTAGCCCGATCTCGTCAGATCGCAGAAGCTAAGCAGGCTTGGCCCTGGTTAGCAGGGCTATTTTTGGGCAAGAACGCACAGGAATGGAGTTCCGGCTGGCTTCCGAGGGCACATGCGGCCCTCAGTTGGCTCCCAAGGAGCTGTCAGGGGCGTGACCTAATATGCTAATGGGTTTCTGCTATTGGGTGTGGCCTATCATGCTAATGAGTTCCTCCTGGGCTTTTTCTACAAAAAAAGGCCCTGCTGGTTAGTATTTGGATGGGAGACCATCAAGGAATGCCAGGGCCGGGATGCTGAGGCAGGCAAACCACATCTGAACGTCTCTTGCCCCGAAAACCCCGTGGGGTCGCCATAAGTCAGCCGTAACTTGACAGCCAACCCCCTCCCCAAGCAAACAAACAACCCCCCCCAAAAAAGAAAATCCATGCCAGTTATTTGGAAAAACAATTACAAAGATCCTTTTCTTTTTTTAAAAAAAAAGATAGTCTGCCAGTGTGCCTATGTACATAAAATATTACGATTATATTTATGGGTCATGTTATCTGTATGTTAGAGAGCCAGTTTGGTGTAGTGGTTAAGTGCGCGGACTCTAATCTGGGAGAGCCGGGTTTGATTCCCCACTCCTCCACTTGCACCTGGCTGGATGACCTTGGGCAAGCCCTAGTTCTGACAAGAGCTGTCCTTGAAAAAGAGCCGTTTCTGTCAGAGCTCTCTC